CTCAACTTTTTGGCTCAGCTCTGGTACTCTCTTCGGTCCCAAGCTAATCGATGCACCCCTCGAAACATTGGAAAATATCCACGAACCCCTCATTTTATCTGTCAAACTTGCATAGCGAATCAAAACAAACATAGTGTAGTACTAGAATTTCGACTAGAATGGAGTACGTTAATGGTTTGCTTGAGACCAATAGGCTAGTCAAGTAGTGAGCCAATTTAAAATCGTTAGTTTCGAATTGATTGTTGATCCGGCTTAGCAGTCCCTACACACATAAATTATTTTACAGTAGTGAGTATTTTTTACTGGGTTTTTGAACTGCTGAAAAAGTCGGTAAAAAATCAAAAGACCGTTATTCGCAAAGATTCGATAAAATCGACAAATTTTATTTTTCAAGTCTGTAAATTTTCGTAACACATTTTCTCAACATTGAATTTTTCACAGATTTTTAAAATTTTACCGAACAGTTCCGCAATTCAAAAACTCGGTAAAAATTACTGACTGGATAAGTGTATAGGGGCCGCTAGGTCTAAAAGTAAAGGAACTAGCCTTCTCCAAGCCAGACCAAAAATAATCGGCTGGAAGGAATTTATCTCGGGAACCCTCCCTAACCGCCAAGGAGACGTTCCCCTCTCGGTAGTCACTTCGGCCTTGCCTGGGCTCTGCCGATATAAGTCTATGATGGAAGACGCCTGGGAGGAATCATAATGGTTTCACGCGCCAACGAAACCGCTTCCTCACACCGCCACTCAGCCAACTTTGACCACGATCACCGCACCGAATCTGGCAGAAGTCGTAGCGCAGTGAGTCCATCGTACAGCAGCGAGTGCTCGCCCAACGTCGTCGAAGCTGTCCATCTTCAGCATCAGGCATCATCATCCGCTGTACCGATACGTTTTTAAAGAATACACCCACAAAAGTAGTAGCACAAATTAAGTGACAGATGACTAACTGGCGAAGAAATCAATTAAAATAATGTGGTTCGCTGTAATAGAATTTTCGTGGATTTTCCTATGTTTCGAGGGGTGCATCGATTAGCTTGGGACCGAAGCTAGTACCAGAGCTGAGCCAAAAAGATCAGCACGTTCCTTCGGGACCTTCTGGTCTTAGAGTTAATATCAATGCTACTACTGGATTGTACTAGAATGTTTTGGTTCTATCTCTTTCACTCTACTCAAAGACTGAAATGCATAAAAAATGGCAAAATTATACACTCTTTGCTCACTGTCAAAGATCATTGCACACAAAATCAACTTTGTTCAAATCAAAACCAAAATACTAGCCCATCTGGTAGCTGATGGTACAAGTGTTGGTACAAGCTTCTAAGAAAATTCTATTACTGGCAACGCTGAAAATGGCAAATCACTCTGCGACTCCTGTGCTGCACTCAAAAAATTCTACACGTTGATGCTACGTGAAAAATCACGTAGATCTCAATACGTATATTTTTTTGTGACTTTACCTGACGCAAGTAGAATTTAGTTATCAATATTTGATGTTCATAAGGAACACATTTCATATCCACTTTTTATCTTATTACATTTACGTGAAAATCACATACGTTGAAGGCACTCTTTTGACAGCTTGACCTTCACGTACATTCTACGTGTTTTACATGTATGAAAAAATAAGAAACATGGCTACTCTGCAGTACATACTGCAAGAGGTGTAAGCTGATTTACAGATTTTGAACGGTAAAAGTTATTTTATTGTATAAATAATGTGGTTTAATTTGTATTATTTGTTTTACAGAGTGTGGAATTGACTCCAAAGTTCTTCCAAACTTCCAACTAAAACAATTTGGAAGTACTTTGTACTCTGAGTTAATTTACTCCAGACGAACACGCCACCTCACTCGCCACCTCAGCCAGTAACATAAACAGAAGGAAAACAGTGTTCCCGCGAGTCCACGAGAACTTACTCCAAACATATAGATTATTCCTGCAATGAAATTTCCGGTGAAACCTTCCACTCCATCAGCTGTCCCCAAAGCAATTCCACAACCAAAACAATTAAGTTGAAACTCCACCGGCATCACCTGCCCCAGCATCAGCGTTTCATCGCCTTCGCCGTGATCATCCTGCGTTCGAAAATCTCCCTCAAGGATCCGGGCGACTTGCTGTTCATGTTCATGGAACTGTTCCATCTTCCGAAGCGGCCAGAAATAGGCAGAATGCAGAATCACAAAATAATGTTATCCAAGGTGAAAAAAAGGTTCATCGCTATTGTGTTAGTTTAATGAATGCAATAAATAATAATGAGATAATTAACGCAAGTATTGAAGTATTTACTTTACATAAATCAATGAAATTCTATAGAAAAGTTTGTACAATTCATCCAAAAATAATATATTCTTCATTTGGTTTTAATTTAAATTATACCATGATTCCATTTAAAATCTACTGAAATATGTCGTTGTTAATACTGAAATTTCACGTAGCTTGTACGTGAAACTCCAATGTTAAAATTTAGAATGGAAGCTTTCTTCACTACATGGAAGTCACGTAAGTATTATGTGAAAAGTGCGATGGAAAAAATCCACATATGTTTTCACGTAGCATTAACGTGTAGAATTTTTTGAGTGTGTTATTTGTGTTCAAATGGGAGCAATTTGCAATTAATTGGTAGGGTCATGATTGGGCTACTGCTGGTGAGAAACTAGGATTTACAATCAGAAACTCCGTTGCGTTGGTCTTGGTTTTCTTACAAGACTTATTTACCTTTTTTAGCATCGGCTTCTCCTAATGCTGCTGCTTTCGTGGATCCCAACCGGTTTCGTATTTCCTTGCCTTCGGATTGGAGTTTTTCAATCCAGATCCAGAATGTTTGGAAACTAACGATTTTAAATTGGCTCACTACTTGAATTACCTCTATGGTACGACGGTTTTTTGTTCGTTTTTTTATTCAAAACAAAATAACAATCGAATGTAAACATTATTTTCAATGGGTATAATATGGGTATTTTTAGAATCGTGTTGATACTCGTGTTGATAACTGGAGAACAGAGATGCAATTTTGAAATCCAAGATGGTGGCTTCCGGTTATTATAAAATCTGGGAAACATTATCAAATACCCTTCAATATGGGTATTTGTGGAATCGTGTTGACGTCTAGAGACCGGAAATCGATGTCCAACGCCATTTTGTAATCCAAGATGGTGGCTTCTGATTATAATAAAAAATTGGAAACATTATCAAATTACCTTCAATATGGACATTTTTGGAACCGTGGTGACGTCTAGAGACCGGCCATTTGGAAACCCAAGATGGCGGCTTCCGGATATAACAAATCTGGGAATCGTTCTATATAAACATTTAAAAGGGTCCTATTATTTCGATTATTTTCCTCGACTTTCTCTTTCGTTAATAACTCAGCTGCAAAACCTTTCCCTGTTATATTTGATGCTTTGGACGCTAGATTAAAACCTTAAAACCATTAGAACCAGTGTTGGCAAAATCATCAATCAAATGTTTTTTCCCCACTCTCGTGAATTCATAAAGTGCAAAAATCAAGCTGAGAGTTGACTCGTCACAAAAATGATTCCGTTGCACATCGTTTTCTTAGAAAGAGAAAGTATAGTTTGCTGTCTCTTTTTACTCATCATTGATGACAGACACGAAGTGACTGCTGCCAGCCGCTGTGGAAGTTTCGGTTGCGTTCGGGTGTGAAGCAAAAATCATGAAACTCAATCTCACCAAAGTTTGTTGAGATTTGCAGCTGGTGAGTTTTGTTAGCTTGATATTCCGAGCTGCGATATTACCTCTATGATATCACAGCTTGCAAAATCAACCGCAGTTTTTTACTTGTTGATTTTTGTCTACGAAAATCAAGCGTGATCTTGGGCATTGGTGAGATTTGATTTCATGATATGTTCCCAACACTGATTAGAAGCTCCTTTATCAAACTGTGTGGTAAAAATAGCGCGAAATTTGTTTGCATAGCATTGGTTATCAAATGAGAAAATCGATGAAGGGAATCGTTCAAAACAGATAGAATCTTTTGAAATGTACATTGAGCATTAGTGCCCAATCATTCTTTCTAACACTGCAATAATCCATTTAAGGGATACCAAATAAAACAACAAACGGCCTTCTCCATTGCATATATTTTCATCGAGATTTTCATTATATAAATAAATACTGGGTTGGGAGGGAGCATCAGGGTATCATTCAAACTGAAACTGGACGATGGTATGATTGACAGCCGGAGTCTAGGAGGGAATAAACACTATCATTTTCTTTATCCTACCGATTCGATTGTGGTGGTGTGAATTCTACTCCAACAGTTTCAGGGCGATTGACGCGCCCTTCTTAACAAACCATCCAGTAGGAAGCTTAATAAGTATTGCAAATTGTGTTATTCGATTTACTGGAGCGTATCGTTGGAAGGAGATTCTTAAATTCCCGTGGATTTTGCGTAAGTGTCTCTCTGCTTACGAGTCCGCCCTTCCGTTTTTGGCCCTTCATACAGCGATATTGTGAATTCAGATCGGTAGCTCAAATTGATCTTGCTATTAAGTGGAGCTGCATACAAGACAAGTATTGAAGGGATGGTGGCTACCTTACATACATTACATACATACACCAGATAAATCAACAAACGACCCTTTTTAGGGTCACCATTTAAAACATTATAGAGTTAAAACTACAGATTTTTGAACAATTAAAAGAATCAAACCCAAAAACAAATGCCCCGACCAATCACGGTCCTACTTAAAGTTTCCATTCGTGCCCCTAGGTACAGACAATTCTACTTTTTTTTAGAGCAAAACTGGTACATTTTTACCTTAGAAACGCATCAAAAGCTTAAACAGTAAAAAGTTGATCAGAAATGTCTTTTTGTACCGAATATCAAGGTGGCGCGTTTTACACCATTTCCCCCTAGTTAATTTTTATGGTTGATTTATACGGCATAAAACGATCACTATCTGTTGGTTGATTTATTTTTAGAATATCGATTGATTGTAGCAGGGCATTTCGGACCAATTTATAACACGCTGAAGCTACACTTACTATCCATTGTCCTTATTTTATTAGTTGTTGATGTCTTGCGTTAGTTCAATCTTTACATGTTTGCGACCCTAGATAAATAGGTCTACTAGAGCATAAAGTTACTTCTTACACGCTAACAACAGGTTTTTTTTGCTGTCAATCCATTTGCCATTTTTCTTTTCTTCACAAAACGGTATTGTACGTTTAGAGTTAGTTTCTTACAGGTAAAGTATGTTGGTTAAGATTTAATCAAATAAAACGAAAAGCTTCACTCTGATCGAAGTAGTGTTCTTATTTCAAGGAAAACAAATATTTCGCGAATCGTGTTCGTTAAGATTGAATGCAATAAAATGTGTGGGAAAATATCAATTTCAACAGAATTGGTTTAAACACAAGTAATCTAAAGCTACGAACTAGAATAAAGAGCAGTCACTAATTATCCCAGGCTAGCAAAAATATACCATACTGGGACCCTAGACGAGCCAATCAGCCCCCAAGAACAATTTGAAATGTAGCTAAACCAAGAGCCACGTGTGTCGCATTTACCTATTCTTGCGCATCGCGGAATTTCATCAACAGTTCGAACCGTTTGTTCGTTCGCACGCCCTTGAGGATCTGATTTTGCTTGTGTCGACTTTGTTCAATCACCCGGCGGGCGGCATCCGGAGTGTCCTTATCTGAGCCAGCCGCGGCGGTACCGCTATCAGTTTTCGGCTTAAACGCCGCCTGGAACTGTTTCTGCCGTTTCTCCTGCCGTTCCGCATCGGAAAGGGGTTTGTGTAGCTCCGTTGGCTTCGGGATCTTGTGTGGTCGAGCGATGCCGGATTTCGATGCCGATGAGCTGGTGGTACCGTTTCCGCTTCTATGCGGAGACTTGGGCGGGACGCTGCTGGACTTTTGAAGAGGAGGGCGATCTGTATGGGAATTATGGGATTTTTTTTTTTTTGGCAACAAAACAACACCATCGTTCAATTCTTACCACTTCTGACCAGCGATGTAGCGGCCGGGCTTTTAACGGCACTATTGGCTAGGATCTCCCTTGCACGTTGAATCTTGCGGTTGTGGAACTCTTCGATCGATTCCATTCTGTTGAATTGCTGCTGATGGATGTTCTTAAAGTTGGGCAGTTTACTGATTTTGGCTGGCTTAGCACCATCGCTGGTGACTTGTCGTGGATCCTTGTGTTCTGAGAACGAGCGTTTCCTGTGACCTTGTGATGGTTCTATGCATGGATTTAAATAAATATGTTAAACGTGTGAAATGTTGGATTATTAAAACAGATACTTACTGCTGGCGCTTTCGTTTTTCTTCTTCAATCGCTCATCGAGCGTATCCACCAGTATGGTACTGTTGGCAGGACTGTGGAATGTAACATTTTTCTTGACCATTTCCGCATCACTGACCGAAAGAGACCGTTTGCGGTTGTTCTCAATCAGACGGTCCTTCGCCGACTTTTTGGAACCCATCCTCAAGGGAGTACTTGTTGCACTGCCGGGTTTGCAATCCGTAAGCTCCGGCTTCAACATAACGATAGGACTGTCGGGGATTTCAATAACCTCGTCCAGGGGAACATTAGCTTGTTCCTGATCTTCCGGCTTGTCCGGACTGCAAGTGGCTGTCTTGCTAGCTGTCGACTCTGGCGTTTTGGGAGTTGAAGGCACCAGTTCCTTCATAATGATTGGGGAAGGTGGCAATTCTACTCTAGCGACCGTAACCTGCGAGGTTTGTGGGGTTGGTGTCTTGTCGCCTAATTCAAAGTCCTCAGTGATTTCCGATTTCGGTGGTTTAGGAGTATCCGGTATCACTATAATAGATTCATTGTCACGGTCTCGTTCCAAAAAAGATTCGTCGGTTGGTTCCGGGACGTCCTCGAGCAGTTCCTCTTCTTTTTCATCGTCAATGTCGTCCATGGGTGGTACTTCGGTATTGTCAAGATCATCTTCAAGTTCTGGAGTTGTGATTCGATTTTGCAGCTGCTCTTTTGCTTGCTGTTGTTGCTGCTCTTGACCATTCGTGCTTTCGATCGGTACTTCATCGATTGGATGTTCATTGGCAGCTGTGCTTACTCCGGACAATTCAAGGAACTCTACCGACTCGTACTGTTGCCCTTTGCTGTCATCAGCCACAGCTGAGGGTTGCTCAACGGGATCATCCTCTACCATCAGCACCTCGGAAAAGCTGCTACTAGCAGATAACTCTGCTGCTTGATTGGTTGACTCTGCAGCCGGAATTGGATCTGCCTGTTCTTGCACAGCTTCGTCGTTAGCCATGAGCTGCTCTGGAACACCATCGAAGGGTTCCGGATCCTCAGCAATCTGCTTTGACTCGGGCTCTGGGTCAGGCTCCGGCATGCTTTGGAGTTCTTCAGCAGGCGCCGTAGTTGTTTGCAATTCTTCCGGTGCGGATTGCTCCACCAATGGTGGATCTTCAGGTAACGGTGCAGGATCGTTTGGGACTTCCTCCGTCGGGGGACAAGGAGCCGGAGATGTCTGGGGAACGGAGGTTTCTTGAAAATTTTCCTCCAATGCAGATTCCAGTGTTTCCGGCTCCGGACGGGTGCTCTCCTCATCTTCGGCAGCATCAGGTTCCTGATTGGAATCTTCGGCTACCGGTTCGACCGGTTGAATTTCATCTTCTGGTTTAGGCTGCTCAGCGGGTACATCATCGTCCGTTGATATTGGAACGCTCTCGACGACCGGTGCTGCAGCATCCAACTCTTCTTGTGGGTGGTTGTCACCTGTTGTTTCCTGCACATTGCTGTAACAAACAAAAACATGGAATTGGTGCTCTAGCGTTCGAGTGGATCTATTATCGTGCTTGGTGGCCTCACAACTGGATCTCGAATGGTGTCGATGTCATCAGAAGATATCGGCCAGAAAGGTGAATCGGCCAAACACTACGAAAAAACGGAAATGTAATCTGCAAGGAAGCACTGGATTGGAATCCGGTAGGACATCGTTACAGGGGCAGACCCAAGGGCGGATCTTCAACAAAGGAATAAGAGAGGTTGAGGCATTTGCATTTGGGCATTTGCAATAACGGACGTTTGGCGGGACCCTTTCAAAAGGTGGAAACACCAAAGGCAGACCACATCAATCATCTTACATAAGGCAGAACAGAACATTAGGCATTTAGGTGAAAGTGGATCGGTTCAGAATGACTCGCAACGCTCAATTTGCGTGGGTGTGCCTTGAATTCCTATAAATCATCGAGAGAAGTCATTGTTTACAAAAGCTGTTACGCCCTAATTTTAGCTCTATCAAGATGTGTCTCACACTTGCACTTATTTTGCTGAACGAGTGGAGAACGAGAAGAATTGTTGTTATTCACATTGTCTTGATTTCGCGCTGTTAAATTTGATGATTTTTTATCACACGGGCTATCGTTCTTCGTTTTTCCCGTTCTGTAGACTTGCAAAATTGTACTGGTTGTTAGTGGAAAGTGCAGTTCGTTGCGATAATCTTCTATTTGGAGCATATTTCGTGTTGTGAAAACAGTGAAAAAGCCATCTAATCGGACATCTTGTAGTGGTATTGTCGATATCAGACGCTCTGCAACTCCTCCTCGCGTATTAGAGCATCTCCACCGCTGTTTCTAAATTAGTTTTGTAAACTGAGTCAGCTATGACCTTGAGCGCCTGTGACCAATGCGCTAAACCAGTTAAAGACGATGAAGAATCCGTGCATGGCTTTTTGCGACAGGATGATTCACCTGAAATGCGGCGGCACAAAGTTCCTTTCCTTTATTTTTTTTAACGTCGGTCTCTGTTCCGCAATCTAGTGCCAATCACCGACGGACATCGATTGCCATGCATTGACGGCAACCGAATGTGCAGGAAGGTAGCTTCCACACCTGCGAGGATATCGCTCCCATTCACAACACACATGGGCCGGGACCAACGGCTTTACTTCCCTTCCGAAGGAAGACGTGACCAGAGATTTTTATGCCTCAGAAAAATCCCACCGACCTTGGCTGGGATTGAACCCAGACCCATTGGGGTGTTAGAAAGCAGTCACGCTTACCACTACACCACCGGCGCCGGCCAAGACGGTGATTCCAGCGATGAGGATTTCTACGGCTACTTGGGTGTGATCTTGGATTTGCAGCTATCATTCAAGCAACACATTGCATATGTTGTCGATGAGGCATATAGAACTTTAGGGTTCATGTTCAGGATAGCTAAAAACTTCACCGACATCTACTGTCTAAAATCTCTCTATTGTTCGATCGACGCGTGAGTATTGTTCAGCGGTTCGGAACCCAAACTACAACAACGGTGCCGAGAGAATCGAATCTGTACCAACATCGCTTGCTTCGTTTTGCGCTACGTAGATTGCTTTGGAATGATCCGTTTCGATTACCCAGTTACGAAATCCGTTGATCGAAATCCGTCCGAAATCCGTCGACCGATCCGGACTAGAAGGGACATAAGCAGAGCCCTAACCGTAGCCGATATCTTGACAGAGGAAGGACAGATTGCTAGGCTATCCATGCATTACGTGAAAATTCATTCCAACTTAACAGAATGGGAATGCTTTTTGGCTACATGACATTAACGTAAATGTTACGTGAAAAGTAGTATGGACGAAAGCTACCTACGTTTTCAAGTGCATATTTCATGGAGTGTGGTCCAGTGCGTCGAAAGTTCTATTATGTTATGCAGATGACTGTATTTTGCTAACTCAAATGCACTTTCTAATCAAAGTTTTAGCATTGCACAAATGTAAGAGACGATTAAAGTTTTCCAGACCCCGTATCCGACAATAGCAGAGTGAGGAGGTGCGACGCGAACACTGGCGCGGTAACCAACAGCCGTGAGGTGATAGAGGAAATGCTTCGCCAACCCGAGCGTCTGTTCACCATGGAGGTGCGGCTCAAACAGCGTCTGACTGGCATCCAGCGGCTGAATAAGAAATGCTCTTCCCCTGAAGCTACACCTAAGATGGCAGCCCCATCACGGCGGATAGGAGACATTAGGCCAACCACCTACTGTCTCTGAAATCTTTACAATTGTTACAGAAAGCAACAGAGAAAGACATCGAACTGATTTAACGGCAACGACTTTTAGCGCAAAACAACGGACACGAATTGGATCATGGAATGTATTGACGTTAGCCCAGCAAGAAATCCTTGGAGTGAGTGAAGTTCGTTGGCCAAACTTTGGAGAACACAAACTGCCGTCGGGACAGGTATTACTATATTCTGGTATTCGAGGTGAAAACGCTCCCCGCCATCGTTGGTCTCCTACTTAGCGTCCAGGCAAGTGCTGCGCTCATCAAGTGGGAGCCTGTTAATGAGAGGATAATCGTTGCCAGATTTAGAACACGGGTTCGTAACCTTACCATAATCCAATGTTATGCACCAACCGATGCTGCCGAGCTACAGGACAAGGAGAATTTTTACAGTCAACTGAATGCCGTCGTGGATAAGGTTCCAAAGGGTGACATCAAGATCTACACTAGCGACTTCAATGCGAAGATCGGCTCCGACATGGGACGCCATGGTCTCGGCGAAATGAGCGAGAACGGTGAGCTGTTTGCAGTATTTTGTGGCAATAACGACATGATGATCGGCGGCTCGCTCTTCCCCCATCGGCCAGTGCACAAAGTCACGTGGGTTTCCCGTGATGGACATACTGAAAATCAGATTGACCACATCTGCATAAGCCGAAAATGGAGACGGAGCCTTCTTGATGTCCGGAATAAACGCAGCGCCGACATCGCGTCTGACCATCACCTTCTAATCGGCGAAATCCGCCTACGCATGGCACGGATCCAGCGACGGGAGGAGAGACTCGGGCGGCGGTTCAACACACGCCGACTTGAAGATCCAGCGGTAAAAAGGTCTTTTGTTGAAGAACTTGAGACTCGAGCTGCGGACGTTCCAGAAGGTGGCAGCGTAGAAGAACAATGGACGGCCATCAAGAATGCCTTTATAGAAACAAGCGAGAACAACTTGGGTGAGCTGCGCACCCAGAGGAAAGAGTGGATCACAGATGAAACCTGGCGGAAGATTGAGGAGCGTAGAGAAGCAAAAGCTGCGATAGGGCGGGCGAGAACCAGAGGAGCCAAGAACGAAGCCCGTCAACGGTCCTCGGCTCTAGAGAAGGAAGTCAAGTGTTCTTGCAGACGGGACAAGCGAGCGTGGGTGAACTCTCTGGCCGACGAAGGGGAGAAAGCCGCAAACACTGGCGATATACGCCTCCTCTACGATATCTCACGACGCCTGAGTGGAGCAAGGATGATCCCGAGGATGCCAGTGAAGGAAACGACTGGACAATTGCTTACCGACCCCAATGACCAGCTGAAACGCTGGTTTGAGCACTTCAAACAACATCTTCAAGTTTCGACGGCCAACCAGCCATCAACATCTCGGCATGATCCGCCTAGGGTGCGGCGCATCACTCGCGTCAATTCCGAGGCCCCATCACTGCAGGAGATTGAAGCAGCTATCCGAAGCATGAAATCCAACAAGGCTCCAGGGGTCGATCGCATATCAGCAGAAATGCTCAAAGCTGAACCCATGCTATCCGCACCAATGTTGCATCAACTATTCTGTAATATCTGGGACACCGCGACTTTTCCGGCCGAAGGTCGAAGGGGGATCTGACTGTGTGCGACAATTGGCGAGGCATCATGTTACTGTGCATTGTTCTCAAAGTTCTGTGCAAAGTTATCCTGAATCGGATAAAGGAGAAGATCGACGCGACTCTCCGACGGCAGCAGGCTGGATTACGTGCCGGAAGATCTTGTGTGGACCATATTGTCAGGCACCGCATCATCCTGGAGCAGGTCAATGAATTCCAAAAGTCTCTTTATTTGGTATTCATTGACTACGAAAAAGCTTTCGACCGTCTCAATCACGAGAATCTGTAGGGCGCCCTGAGACGCAAGGGAGTCCCGGATAAAATCGTCAACCTCACCGAAGCGCAGTATGAGGCTTTCACGTGCAGAGTTCTGCATAACGGAGCCTTGTCCGACCCTATCCGGGTAGTCGCTGGTGTGAGACAAGGATGTATACTATCACCGCTACTGTTTCTCATCGTAATCGACAAGATCATGGTAGGTGCAATTGACCGATACCGAACCGTGGGCTGCTTTGGCAGCCTATCACCATGGAGCATCTCTGGACTGGACTTCAATTTGGCTGATGATGTTGCTCTACTAGCACAACGGCGCTCTGATATGCATAGTAAGCTCAATGACCTAGCCGAACGCTCCTCTGCGGCGGGTCTCACCATCAACGTCAACAAGACCAAATCGTTGGATATCAACACGGGCAACCCTTCCAACTTTATGGTAGCGGGGCAACCAGTGGAGAAGGTCGAAAGTTTCCAATATCTTGGCAGCCAAATAGCGTCGGACGGCGGGACCAAGAGCGACATAGGTGCACGAATCAAGAAGGCTAGGGTTGCCTTTGCGAGTTTACGAAACGTATGGAGATCCAAGCAGGTAAGTCAACGCACAAAAATCAGAATTTTCAACTCGAACGTGAAATCTGTGTTGTTATACGCCAGCGAGACGTGGTGTGTATCAGCGGAGAACACTCAAAAGCTGCAGGTCTTCATCAACCTGCGGTATATAATTCGTGCCTGGTGGCCTCACAACTGGATCTCGAATGCCGAGCTCCATCGTCGATGTCATCAGAAGCCGATAGCAACAGAAATTCGAGAGCGAAAGTGGAGGTGGGTCGGCCACACACTTCGACAGGGTGGAAACGAAATCTGCAAGCAAGCGCTGGATTGGAATCCGGCAGGACATCGCAGCAGAGGCAGACCCAGGGGCTCATGGCGGCGGAGCTTCAATAAGGAAATTAAGCAAGTCGATAGTAATCTGACCTGGGCCCAGGTCAAGGCAAAAGCGAGCAGCCACGCAGGATGGAAGTCTTTCACGTTGGCCCTTTGCACCGCTGGTGGTGCACAGGACCTTTAAGTAAGTAAGTAAGTAAGTAAGTAAGTAAGTAAGTAAGTAAGTAAGTAAGTAAGTAAGTAAGTAAGTAAGTAAGTAAGTAAGTAAGTAAGTAAGTAAGTAAGTAAGTAAGTGAGTAAGTAAGTAAGTAAGTAAGTAAGTAAGTAAGTAAGTAAGACCCCGTAGCATCCTATGGATACGTTCCCCACTAGCCAGAGGAATCGCAGCTGTAATGAAATCGTTACACCTTGTGGAAGGTCTACAAAGTCAACTTTAATCTGTTCTTTGACTATATGTTTTAGTATTACTTCTGTGTGAAATCAACGATTTACATAGTTGAAGATGCTAATTTCAAACAACAGACTAAAGTGGTAATTTGTATACTGATAGATGAGGAGGAGATGAAAGTATAGAATTGATAGTTCCGTTTAGAGTACGGCAGTGTAAAAATTGCATATAGAGAGTAGACTTTAGTCTGTTACTTGAAATTAGCATCTTCAACCATGTAAATCGTTGACTTCACGCAGAAGTAATACTAAAACATATAGTCAAAGTACATAACTCTGGATGGGAGCATACCATTACTGTCATTGGTCGAAAGGTACAGTAGCAGCACCTACCCCACCCGTGTCCCCTCGAGATCGTCAAGCCGACGATGACAGGAGCACATACCGTGGTAGGGGTAAACAATAGCTGCAATTTCCAAACCTACGACTGGATGCCTTTCTTCAAACAACAACTGGAGTGCGGTAAAAATCGGTAGAACTGTTTCAAACACATCGTCGGTACATGAGCGGGTCGGTGATCATCTCTTTTTACCAGTGGTGGCGGGCTGGGGGACACCTCTCACCATCCCTCTCCAAAGGGGGAGTTTGGTAAAGAGAGATGATAAAACTGATTTGTACCTTCGTAAAAGTTGTCCTAGCTCGCTGTCTACTCTCTATATGCAATTTTCACACTGCCGTACTCTAAACGGAACTATTAATTCTATACTTTCATCTCCTCCTCATCTATCGTATAAAAATTACCACTTTAGTCTGTTATTTGAAATTAGCATCTTCAAATTAATCTGTTGCGAAAGAAAGAAAAACGCGACTCCGACGAGGACTACTGATAACACTAAGTTGGGTCTGCTTGTATTCTGACAAAATGTCAGTTTGATCGTTTGTTTTAATGGTTTTAACCTACCTCAGGTTGAGGTTCGCACTGGATCAAAAACAAATTTGTTATTAGATTCCATGGTAATTTCAGATGCGCATTCGGTAGCCGGAGCTCTAACCAAATAATACGCCCGCCGTCTGAACATCTCCGAAAAGTTTTACGAATTTAACATAAAAGTCTCCTGAACTTCCTCTGAAACCATTTGGAACAACCCCTTACAAAACAGTAACATAAGTCGTGTCGTGCCAAAGGACATCGCTGCAGTCGTCAGAAGTAAAATAAAATCGAAAAACGAACTAAAGTCGAACCGTCGAGCCAGGGACTCCAACCGAACAAGGGAATTGCCAATCCGAAATAAAAAAAACGCAAAATATATCGTTTCAGCAATTGATTTTAATTCGAAAATGTTTCAACACATACATATTTCAAAGAATGTATAAAAAGTAAGTATAAATGAAAGAGTTAAGAAGAAGAAAAACAAAAATAAAATTCAGTCCCTTTTCCGGAAGGTCAAATTGAAGCTCAGTGCGCCCCACATCGCCGCGTTCAACTTTAGTCCTATACTAAACACACACGCGTATCTTAAAATCAATCAATCAAATGTTTTGGTCTCATATTGCAGCGCAGGATTGCTATAGGATAGAGGAGGCATTGTCACATGCACACGCAAACGATTTCACACACACATCATCGTGGAAGACACCGTGTACCAACTGGAAGTAAGTATGCAACTGGCTTATTCAATAGCAAGGGGGGGAACTTACCCGACGACGGCCACTTCCGGTTGATCGTCCACTTCCATTGGGGTGGGTTGATCACCACCATCGTCACGCTTCGTTTCCACTTGGGTCTCCGTGTGCAGTTCCTCCATCATCTGCTCCACGTTTTGATCTGACTCTTTCACTGGATCAACAGCTCCCACGACTGCCAGTATTTCCTCCCGCGAAGGACACTGTTCCACTTCTGCTTTGGGTGCTTCCTTTACTGCTTGGACTGGAGTCTCCTTCGTCTCGACGCTCTCTTTGTCCAGCTCAGCAGCCTGAGTCTTCCTTTTTCCCCGACCTCCTCCGTTTACTGGACTGGATGCAGTAGCTTTAGGCTTGGCAGCTTTGGTCTCCTCTTCTTCTTCGCCGAAAAACTTCTTCGGTTTGATTTTTCTACCGGAACGGCTACTGCCGGCGTCCTCCGTAGCGATCAAGGCGGTTGTCATTCGACGAGCGACTGGCGTTTTCGATGCTTTCGGCAGTTCCTCTTCCTCATCGTGGGATGGCGCTGGCAACGTTTTGCGATCACGTTTCGGCTTCTCCTGTAGCTCGACGGGCTTTTCTGGCTCTGGCAGCGTTTCGATCAAGACAGCCGGAAGCGTCTTGCGGCTGCGTTTAGGCTTCTCTTCGTCGGCTTGCTTTTCCTCAACCGGATCACTGTCCATTTTCTCGGAAGTTTGCTCAGCGGGTTCCTCTTTTGGAAGCGTTTCTTCCTTCACGAGCTGATGGTGATGGTCATTCACTCCCCGTTTGGTAATCTGACGTTCTTCTGTGTTGGGCGATATCTCGTCCAGTTTCTTCGCCTCATCAGTAGTAATTTTAGGTTCCAGTTTAGGTTTCTTCTTCGGTGATTCATCCGCCTTTTCCGCAACTTGATGCCTCTTTACCGGAGATGCTTTCTTCGGTGGGGATTCTTTCTTTACCACAGGCGAGCTCTTAGCAACCGTTTTAATGGGGGAAGCAACTTTGGCAACGACCGGGCCGGCTTCGTCTTCTTCGAACTCTCCAAAATATTTCTTCGGCTTAATTTTCCTTCCAGAACGAGACACTGGTTCCGCGGTGTCCTCTACCAGTCGGATAGCTTTAGGAGTTTTTGGAGCTTTCTCCGGTGATGCAATCAGAACTGGAGCTGCCATCGACTTCCCTCGCTTGGAGGGAGTTTTAGCCGGAAGTTTATCTTCCATAACCGGGGACTTGGTAGCTTCCGGAGCCAGGGATTTGCCTCGTTTTGGTGTCTTCGGGGCAAGATCTGCCACTTTTACAGGTTCTACGGCTGCTGTCACGGGAGATGGTTGCTTTACCTTCTTCGGAGATGCGACCTCGGAACTTGGTGGAATAGCCAAAGGATCATCATCTTCATCCATTTTAACTGCCAGTGATTTGCCTCGTCGAGGAGTTTTTGCCAACCCTTTTGTTTCCTCCAGATCCGGTTCAGCCGCTTTTCGTGACACAGCCAGTGATCTTCCTCTTCCGGGTGTTTTAGGAGCAAGTTTTTCCTCTGGTTCCTGCTTTTTCACAACCGGCGCAAGCGATTTACGCGATGCAGATTTATCCGGTACTTCCTTCTTCGGGCTTGCAACTACCACGTCTTCAAATTCCTTCAAATGCGCTGGAACCTTGATTTTACGACCGGTGCGAGAAACTCCTGGACCAGCCGGCGTCTCGTCTTCAGCCGGTTCGACCTTTTTAACTGACTTTTGCGGTGGTTCCGTCTCCGGTTTGTCCTTCTTTGGTGTATCCTGTTCCAACGGCGAATTCTTCACAGCCGACTTAAGCAACGTCTTGCGAGCGGATTTCTTCATCGTTTCCGGTTCGGGAGAATCTTCCTTGTTGCTAGCAACAGTCATTGTCCTACGGGAGATCGTTTTCTGAGCCTTCTCCGGTTCCTCCTCTCGCGAATCTTGTTTCATGAGCGTCTTCCTGGCGGACTTCTTCGGCACTTCCACCTCAGTCTCCCCATTCTTCTTCGGAGAATCTTCCACACTCTTGAGGATTGTCTTCCGAGCAGATTTCTTCACAGCTTCCGGAACTTCCTTCCGTTTCGGTGAAACATCCTCCAAACAGGAGCCGGTTTTCTTCGTATCCGGAGAGTCATCGAAATGCGCTGGACGCTTGACTTTCCGGCCGGATTTAGTCGCTCTACCAATCTCCACCGGGTTTCCGCCATCTTTCAACGGAGTCTTTCCTGGTGTTGCTCCAACCGCTCCTGAAATCAGTATTGCACCATTTTACATTCCGCAAAAAAGGAAAGAAAGGAAAAAAAAAAACAAAAAAAAATATCGATTACACCTGGGCACACTCCCGGACAGGATCCAAAGCGTCCAATTTTTATCAATAATAGCCGCAAAAATTGCGTCGCTTACCTCCACGATTCATGCTGATGGTGCGAACAGAGAAAAATAAAATCCAAAATTAACCGGTAAATACCACACTAAACTGCTCACTGTTACCACTATTGTGTTTATCACGGATGGAAAAATGCACCGTTCACTACTATTCACGTTTAATTATCGGAAAAACGGTGAAAATTAGCAAAAAATTTCCCTCTTAAACGCGACGACCTTCGGTTTTTCTGTTACGGACGAACTTTTTGCTGCTGTGTTTGTTCGTTTGTTTTTCGGCTGGCTTCTGTCTCTCTCTGCGCTTTTTGAACGTTGATCGCCGCGGCCGAAGTGCAGTTCTCGTAATTGGCACCAGCGGCGAATGGTGGCGGTAGCGGCTGTATGAGGGGATTTTCGAGCCATAGTCAGAAACATTACAAATGTGAATTTAATATCGGTCGTCAGCAGAGTTGCCATTACCGATAATAATAATATTACAGTTGAAAACCGGATAACCCCACACTAATAAAATTCCACACATTTTTATTGACGAATTTCCATGTGAAATTCCACATGATTTTCATGTGACCACACATAAACAGAATCCACCCAGTGGCACACATGGCACATATTACGTACACGGATAAAAGGTTTCATATAGTTTCTATTGGGAATGCACATAATATTTTTCCATTAACAAAACCAATGATATTTATCTGAATTTCACATTACATTCATGTGATCACATGAGTTCTATATGATAAATCACTTAAATTTCATTTGACACATAAGGTTCATGTGATTTTGTGGTGCAATTCCCAATTATGATATCACATGAAAGTTATGTGAAATTCTAATGAATATTTTCCATTGGATATGTGATTTATTCTTTGAGTGTATGTGTCCGACACAAATATATCATTTGTTGATCACATTGCAAAAATTCATTGAAATTTTATCAGTACACATGCGACAATTAATTTTACTCTTGTTATTACGATAAACCTAGTGTCAGACATGCACTGTATGCGACTATGTCCGACTTTATTTTCAAGGGGAAGTTTACCGGCCCGAAAAAAAAAAAAAATCAGCACGTTTTTATTTTTCTAAAAGTATTGGGAAAAATTATCAAAATCCAAGAAAATCAGTTTCTTACTTAGATTCTTGTCAAAAATTACCATGATTATATGACATGAATTTTATATAGAAAATAAGAAAAAATGTGTTTTTTTTTTAGATTTTTCATATCTTTTCCCAATATATAAAAAAAATCGAAACGTTATTTTTTCCGGAGTGGTGAACTTCTGCTTAAAGTACAGAACGAGAGTAAAATCGAATGTCACGTGTGGGGTTTTCTGGTGTCCAACTTGACTGACAATATTGATGCACTATAATACCCTGGACAGACTATGGCTTTTATCACGTAATATAGGCTGTCTTGCAATGAGCACTCATACATTGGATTTCCAGTGAAAACCTCGGTGAAAACTAGATGTATGAGTGTTCATTGCAAGGTAGCCTATATTACATGATATAAGTCATAGTCTGTCCGGGGTATAAAGCGCACTATGTCCAACGTTATGTTTAACGCGAGGCTTAACGTATTCAGAACGAGAGTAAAATCCAATGTCACATGTGGGGCTTTCCCTACACGGTTACTCACAACACTCAAAATTGAGTCGAACAAACTCATTTAATTGGGAAGCATGGCTACTCAAAAGCGAGCTCAAAAGTGAATAGGCGCACTTTTACTAACTTTTGAGTAAACGACGTTCTCATGCAGAGTGTGTTAAAACCACTCTGTGATATTTTCTGTCGGGAAGTTTGTTTTGATAAAAATGGAAATTATCTGCTCCATATTAATTTAACTGGAGCTGAAGACGACTGAAAACTGTCTCCGCATGCAATTTCTTTCTTTCTTCTTCGCATTTCAAGCTTATTGCATATCGCATATTAGCTTATTGCGTGCTCTCAACTTAGTGTTCTAGATGCCCTTCCACAGTTATTATTTGATCACTTTCGATGCCTGTACCATTTTTGTATTTTAATTGTGTGCTTAATGTGTGTGTTTAATAGACCGGACCGGGAATCGAACCCAGCAACCTCCAGCATGGTCTTGCTTTGTAGCTGCGCCTTTACCGACTGAGCTAAGGGAGGTCCCATGCAATTCCTACCGAGATTCCTACTTACCTTAATACATTTCGGCCGGTGTTATACAATAATTTCGCCGTTTCTTAAATCAAGATTTTTAAATCAAGATTTGAAGCAAAATAATAACTTCACTGTTTGACACTAAACTGACAAACTGACAGCTCGCTCCCATACAAAGTGACACCGAGGGGCGGTAATAAGGTGATTTTTGCAAATGTAATCATACTAATTTAAAATAGTTCCAGTGTACCAAAATGGATGAAATTTTGGGTTTGGGTTCCATTTTTAATGCAGATTACGAATATGCATTTAACTTAATACCCTTAAAGAACCCAATTGCTGCGATGGTGATTTCTGCCCGTAAGTTTATTGCAAGCTTCTACCAACAATCAATACGAAACTAACGATTTCAAATTGGCTCACCACTTTAGTAGCTTATTGGTCCCAAGCAAACGATTAACGTACCCTATTCTAGTTGAAATTCTATTACTACACTATGTTTGTTTTGATTCGCTATGAAAGTTTGACAGATAACATCAGGGGTGTGTGGATTCATGCAGAACATGCAGAGGTGAGTGAAATAGCTTGGGACTGCTTGGGACCGTTGTTCTGGTACTGAGTGAGCCAAAAATAATAATGATTTTCTTCGGGACCCAGTGGTCTTAGAGTTTCCTCTATGCTTCTACCGAACCTCAGACAGCCATTAAAAGACTTTTCAAGCAGCACCTGTTAAGTTGTTTTTTTAGACTATATATTAGCCTCGATATTAGCCTTATCTCACCTTAGCACAGATTCACTTGTGGAATGAAATGATTAAATCATGCAGAATCGAATCGACTTCGAGTAATAAAAAAGAAATCCAAACATAAACTAAAACAAATCTAATGCCATGGTGAAGGGGGTGCATGTTTTTATTTCAGATCGGTTCTGTTTTATCGATCTTGCATGCAATATGGAAAATCCAGTGTAAAAAATCCTACAACACAAAAACTATAAGAAATGAATGGTTAAAACGCTGTCCAGACTGGAGAGTTATAACATGTTATAACGGTTGTCAAAAAATTGCAACACAGAAACCACCATCAAGATAGCGCTATAACATGTTATAACTCTGTAGTCTGAACGTACTATAAGACACATAACCGTCCTCTTCTAATGTAAAATGTCCATTTACCATAAGTTTCGTTGTAATTGTATTGTAAAAATTCCAAATCGTTATATGTATGTAAGAAGCCACCATCCTAGCTTGGGTCTTGCCCTGCATGCGGCTCCACTTAACAGCAAGATCAAATTTCGTAATCATTCTGAATTCAACATATTGCTGTATGAAGGGCCAAAAAGGATTGGGCGGGCCCGTAAGCAGATACACTTACGCGACACTCGCGGGAATAAAAGAATCTCCTTCCAGCAATATGATCCAACAAAACGAACCACGAAATTCGCAATACATGATAAGTTTTCCACGGGATGGTTTGTTTGAGAAGAGCGCGTCAAATTCATTGCAACTGTTGGAGTAAAATGCAACTATCTAAAATGACAGAACATTTCCTCCTAGACTCCGGCTGGCACTCCACTCCATTGTCCAGTTACAACTTCAATGATACTCTGATGCTCCCTCCCGTCCCCGCATTTTATGAGTATACAATATAATTTTAAATATATAACATGCTTTATTTGAAGTTTATTAAATAATAGTGAATTGCAAAATATAAGAGAAAATAAGCATGAAAATGTTCAAATAACGTAGATTTTAATTTTTAACAATTGCCCTTTTTTTTATATATATATAATTATTATTACCCCTTAATATTTTAGTAGGCTTTAAACATTTAGCCATAGAATGACCTAACGCATCATGGAATATTTTGAAAATATCGATACTATTTTTAGCAATAAATCAATAGACCGAAAAATCTAGGTTATTTGGACATGAAACAATACTTTTGCAAAAATACTAATGAATAAATCAACAATGATTGTATATAGTGGAAGCCCTGTAAGAGTAAAATTATTTGGTTATTACACTGTAATGTAAGGTTATATTAAGGCAATTTGAAATTATCTCCAATGATGCTATGCTGTTTACTTCCAGACGTATTTATATCCTGTTTGTAAATATTTGAACAATTAATTAATTATTTTGAACAAAATAATTATAATTTCATGTAATGTATTCGTTTTCGCATTATACCAATATCGATACTTTTATGAGTTGGCTTTTAAGACAGGTTCTATGGTACTAAAACAATTTAAAAAATGGGATTATACAATTTATGTTAAAAGTTGCATGGATGTTCTTCGATTGACGCTCATGTGTTTCGTATGTTTTCATCATGCTAAATATAAAATAGATAATAATTTCTTATTATTAACTGCAAATTAGATTTCATTTTGTAACAATACAATATAGGGTTACGGTATGTAATGTGGGTCTAGTCCTTTCATTCGGCCTATCACGCAAATAAATAATTAATTAAGGAATATTACACAAAAAATAAGGAAAATATTGATCACTGATGGTTGATAAATGTGTACCACACACAAATCAATTTATATCACAACATTTCAATACATTTTCAGCTCTCGTAAGTAATAAAACTGGTTGAGAATATCACAATGTTCGGAGTTTTTAGCCGCCATGACTTATAAGGTTAAGATGGGAAGGTTGACTGACGATCATCAAATGGCCTGATTATGGCATTTATTGATTGGAATTACCTGATAATACACACTAGACGTAAAACTTACACTTGCTGTTTGAATATTTTATGTTTATTTTAATTGTTTAACAACGTTTTCACAAGTAAAACATGGACCCAACTTTAGGGACACATTTCTTTTCTATGTTCCTAACTATGGCCCATGAAATTCATTTGACAGCATATAGCAATAAGAGTAACGTCAACAATGTTGTTTTGCATTTGGATGATAAGGAACGAACAGGAAGGGAGATTTTTTCTGCCAAACCTGTATAATGAACATCACAATGTTCTGATTTAGATATTCTGCGGTCAAAAGACGATAAGCGAAATTTTTAATTTTTAATTTTTAAATTGAGTGATTTAATGTAGTTTTCGTAAAATTTTCTCTAAGAAATGTTTTGAGGAATGAAGAGCATTAAGTTAACAGTGATAGTGATAAAAAAAAATA